ACAGTGGTATAGAGCTCGTTGGCATTATTCCGTTATATATGTAGTTATTAATGCATGTAGGATTATTAAATTGTAATATTGTATTATTTAATTGGGTGTTTTCAAAAGTTTAAAACTAGTTTTGAAATATTATTTACAATTTTTCCATATTTAAAATTGTTTTAAATTTGAAAATCGGATCTGAAATAAAATTTAAACAGTTGTTTTTATTTTATCTGGATCGAGCCGGTCGGACCGGCCGATTTGACGGTTCTTTTCGATCCAACTGACCGAATCGACGCGGAATTGGATCGGTCAGACCGGCTCTCGGTCTGACTGAACCGACCCACTGATTCGGCCAGGTAGGTTGGACTGAAGCGGACCGTTTCAGATCCGATTCAAAAAAAAAAATTTATTTCAGATATCTAAAATAAACTTAAAACAGATTGATTTTAATTTTTTGAAAATTATTTTCAATTAAATCCAATTAGATAATTGATTCAAACAATGAACTATTAGTAAATATGTGTTAGATTAATTAATTAATTTAAATTGTTAAAGTGATTTTAATTAATATAATACATGTATAATATTGATTATACTTCAACGTAATTATTAGTACCTCAATAATATTTGATTGATTTATGCTAATTCAGGTCCTATAATTATTTTGAAAACCCGATAATTAATTAATGTAATTAATTATATAGTTAGGTCATATGTTCCTCTTAGGACAATATGTGTTTCCATATACCTTTAGAGAACATAGATGTATTAGGAATCACATCGACCATCCCAAACCTTCTGATGAGATAAAACTTTTTCCAAAAATCCCTCATTCTTAATTTAATTAAGAATTATTTCAAGCTATAAAGAAAAAACCAATCTGTTGATTTTTTCTTTCCTTCTTCCAACGGTTGAATTATGTGTAGGCGTTTGCAATAGTGCAGTAAACTATGTTAACGGGGAGTACTATAGTAAGGTAAGATGTAATTCAATTGACATAATGATTTAGGTATCCATAAAAAAAGTTATGCTATATTAACGTGGTCGGATTAACTAGGGACTGCATTAGTTTGGTATCATTAAGTTCTATAAGCATCTTTGATTGGTAGGTGTAGCGCCCCGCCCCGAGTAGCAGGCACCTCGTGGCGGAACACCACTCAACATGCAGTACATTCAATGACCCCAAATATGCTCCTCAAAATTTCGACGATCAGAATATTAAACCCCCAATATCTATACCATCGTGTTTACAAAAGGAGGTTCTATTACAAGTCGGCTTCGACACCACTTACTCTATTACAAAATTCTCGATCAAAGGATTCCTATACGGAACATAAATAGAGATACCTCTCGACGAGACTAATCGGAGGCATACATGAGCTTTAACTCTTAGTATGAAAATTTAGGTCTAAATCATTCTTTTACCTGCGCATTAATATCAGAAAGGAGAAACGAATAAGTCCGAATGACTTAGTGAAAAACATATGATCCATGAGTATGATGAGAATCAACAGAACAGAACATATAACGAGAGACTTTACAAGAATTTCATTAACAGAAGTGTAACATGTACAAGAGTGTAACATGTACGGCTTGAGTTCAATATTTGGTGGGGTCTCCAACCTTGTAACTCCCAACAAATAAAATCATATCACATCCTTATCCCTCCACTCCGTCCCGAGTGGCCACTCGGTCGGAAACAAGCAAGAGGCACGACCGGAACGTGCCGATCCGGCTCAAGAACGTTTAACTCCAAACGAACGTGAGTCCGAACCATCAGGAGGTACCATTCGGGAGACCAGTCATCGTCAGTCCAATACTGCCCGATCGTCTTGCCGAAATGGTCCTAGGGCCCAGCTCCCCCAAGAGCGTCCTCAAGGGTGGGGACAGTAGGTTCAAGAATCAATATCATTCCTTTTAGGAATATCAAGTCATTCATTTCAAGAATCAAGTCAATCATCATTCACAAGATAAGTCATGATCACGATAGTCGAACATCAAATCTCAGGATAATGAACATGTTCAGATTTCAAATCAAGCCAATGAAGAATTGTCGTGAATATGGAATTCAGAAGAACAATAAATTCCATGTCAGGTTCCAAGAACGAGTATATCAAGATCTCGATATATTCAATAAACATGAGATTCAAGTTCGAGCCAACAAAATATTTATTCTCGAAAGGCATTCAAGACAAGATTTGAGAATAAATATAGTTCAATATCGATTCAAGGAAAATGTTCACGCCAAGGAATCAAGTATAGGAATTAGCCGTGAACATAGCAACCAAGAGAATTGACAAGTTCAAGATTTCAAGAACAAGATCAAGGTTCCAAGTTCGAGCCAAGAAAACAGTATGCTCGCAAAACATTAAGGATCATATTTCAAGAACAAATATAATCAAGGTATCGAAGGCTTCAATATATACAAAATATTCGGTTCAAACAAAGGAGATATTAAGCGCAGGAAAGAAATCGGATAAGGAGTCATAGTTTCTCACCTGGAGTCCAATGCTAGTTCTATAGGTGCATCCTTAAGCTTAAACCTTGAGTGAGAGCTTTACTACGCTCAACACCTATTCAAATATTAGAACTAAATAAGATTCCGAACAGTAATATAGCCTTTACCATCTACCATCCACTATATGACATAGTCAATTTCTTAAACATATACTAAGAATTGCTTCTCGCGACAATTTATTCAAATAATCACTGCGGTCGTCGTACTTATCCGAATGACCTAAACGATATATAAATTTAAAGATAACATCTGTATCTACAAGTTCACTGAAGACTTTAATCCCAAATTAACAACATAACCCGTCAATAACAACCCCGAAAGATGAACACATAAACCTGCCAGATTTTCGGATAATTTCGTTTGCTGTCGCAGTCCGTTTGAAAAATTAGAACAAATTGTACGGTTATCCAAATTGTCCAATTAATACATCAAATGAAACCTGACAATTTAATCTACAAGTTTCCTGAAGACATACAGCCCAAATTATGATCCCAACATATCGAAAAGAGTCCCGCAAGAAGACACTCAAAACTGCCCTGTTTCCGGCAGATTACTGTCATCGGATTCCGACCTCTAAAACACGTATATTAAATACTCTAATTGGATACAATAGAACACTTACTTATAGTTTACGATGTCCTCTACGAGTTTCCCGAAGGAACCGATTCCAAATTCGCATTCGAAACCCTTCGATTTCGGCTCCGAAAACAGGTGCGGCAGCAGATTTTGCTTCCCCAAAATCCCAGCGGGCTGGCTGACTTCTCCGCAAACTCCGGCGACCACTGTCGGTGTAAACCATCGAGAACTACCACCAATAGAGAGCCAAATTCATTAGCTTTCTAACGATGGATCCTGATCAACGAGGTTCAATCTCAAGGCCTCTAAACAATTATTTCTTTGAAGGCCTAACTGCTGAAATTCGAATTATAAGTGACAACTTGTCTTCTTCGCCGGATTCCGGCTGCTGGAAATAGAACACCATCTCAGCCCCGTATCTTTCAACCATGTTGCTATTTTAAGATTTCTAGATTTACTAATTTAAAAATCGGAAGAACAAAGGTTCTAAAGGGGTGCTCGGCCGTGAGTTTTCATGGAGAAAGGAAGATACCATGAATATTGCTATTGCTAGAACTGGTAAATGAACGAGATAAAGGTTGGGTAATTAAGAAAAGAGAGAGTGAAGAGATGAAGATGGAGAGAGAGAGAGACGGTGAGAAGGTGAGAGAAGAAGAAGAACCGTGGCTGCAATTGATGATGCACACATCAATCCATATCTCAATTATAAATTCTGAAAATTGGCTATAAGGCCAAATTGTTTTCTTAATTACCAATAGATGCCATAACTTTAGATAATTACAATTCTACACTTCCCATCAAATTCGGGATATATTATAATTCCATATCGACACATATCAACTAAATAAATTTAATTATCCCAGACTTAAACAACTTACATATTTACGGTAAAGAAGATTTGATTTTACGATATAGGTGAGAATGGAGCACTAATTACGATTTTTTTAAGGGAGAAAATTGTAGGATTATTATTGGGATTTGCTTTTTACCGTTTGAAAAAGGCTATTTACCGTTCAAAAAAACTCTCTCTCTCTCTCTCTAAAAAAAATTGCTCTCAAGACAATTTCTTCACAAATCATTCTTATTGGTGTGATATACGAACATAAATGAATTTATCGAATGAAGATTGGGATAGCGAACACAGCGAGGTAAAAATTCCGTCTTTTCGATCGAAAAAACTGGGCTAAACATTCAAAAGCCCAACTTGGGCGCCCGACAGTGCAGTGCACGCCCATGTTGGGCGTGCAGTTGGCTGTTACACGA